ATCAGAGGTGCTTACAAGAAGAAAAACATTGTAAGTCTATGGTTAATAACTTTCTACTCAGAATTTTATTTTAACTATTCTGTCTGAAGACTGTCATTTTAAGTGTTCTGACTTGAACTCAGCCTTAAGGCTTTGTTTCTTTTCCTTCTGAAATAGGAAGTTTTTCTACTACTTCACTGGAAATGAGCGCATGATCAAGCTGTATTTTTGACTTACTAATTGCTTTTTCAGTATTGTAATTGTATTTGTTCTTTGTATACATAAATACATAAATGACTTCAAAATAAATTGTATGACTGATTAATTTTGTGCATTTAATTTGAATAGGGTAAATCAGACTAGAAATATCTCAGTAGAATAGAAAATCTCTCGGAAACTGAAAGTGGTTCTACAGGAAAAGACCAGATGAGCTGTAGCTTCAATTTTACACATTTTCATCAAAAGGGAAGTAGAAATGTAGCCCAAGCAAGTGAAATTTGTAATTGTAGATCTCCATCTTAAAAAAAAAAATAATATATATATATATATATAAAACATATATATGCCCATATATATGAAACTATGTAAACTAATAGTTACAAGTGCAGCTTTGACAATTAAGTACTAAGAGTCTGAAGCCACTGGTTAGTTCTTTGACTGTTGATTAGAATTCCATGGTGGTGATTAGTGACTGTGAGGGTGCAATCACATCTGCAGGATTTAATCAGTTCGGTGGTGGAGAAGTTAGTCTGAAGACAGAGGGAGAAAGTAGAACTTCTGTATGTAATTCTGTTAGGTTTTGGGGTGGTTTTTTCATGCTATAGAAAAAAGTAAGGGTAAGAAGTAGAGATGTGCCTTTTTTTTTTTTTAATTAAGAGTTTGTGGAATTTGTGAATGATACTATTGGGTTTTTTTTTCTTCTTGTTCTGTAATAAGAGGAATATAATGTTGCTGACAGCTCTGAAGAAGTGAGAAAATGCACTGTGGCACTCAATGTGCATGACTTCCATGGCATTCGGCATTTAATTCCATATTATGCAACCATGGATACATTTTTTTTATTCTCGTAATTCTAATATTTTACATTCTTAGCCTGGAAATGCATGTTTTAGTTTCTTGTATTTTCTTCTCTTGTTTAGATTGCATGCTGTCCTTTTTTACCATTTAAGGCATTTACAAATATGGACGTTTTGCCCCATGTGCTCCTGTGAAGCAGATAAGTGAATGTTTACATGTATAGACACAAAAAGCCTGGGTGGCTACCGTTGCCTACAAAGGAAACCCCAAAAGGAAAATCCTTCAGATCTCTGCTCTGTGCGTAGCTTCCTTGTGACCTTTTTGACTCTGGCTTTGAATGAAGGTGACCAAGTGCTGAACCCCCCCTCCCCTTTAGAACAATCTCCACCAGCACATTCTCAGCGTGGATGAGAAATGCTGTTGTTACTGCCTGTTGGTGCAAGCAGTCCTCCCACAGCAGCCCTGAGTTCACTTGATGCTGCTGTCGGACCCTTTCTCTCCTCAGTGTGGAGTCTGAGCTGAGTTTGTGGAAATAGCAGTGCCCGCAACAGGGATTGGTTGTGTGATGTTTTGTTGGCAGCCACTTCTTCCACCACATCATCTAATGATTGCTTGTGTTACTCGTGCTTCTGTTTTGCTTTTGTTGTTACTGTTGTTATTTTCCAGTAGTACCTACAGATCTGTGCTGTACATTCACATAAGGAGAAAGCTGTTCCTGCCTTCCAAGCTTACAATATAACAACAGCAGTTGTGTTGGAAAGGAACACTTTCTGGAAACACATTGCTCTACAGATTATAACAGATATATAGATTATAGCATTTTCTTTTGATGGTAGGGGCCATCTATTTTTTATACATATTTATACAATGTCTAACACTAGTTGGGAGTGTGCTTTAAAACATCTCAGTAAAATTAATTATTGGCAAACAGTTGCAGTATTTATTCACACAGAAGGGTTAGCAAAGTTTTGTGGCTGTTCTTGTTTAGAACATGGGTTGGTGTACAGTGGTACAAAAAAATTTAAGATGATCCAAAAGGAAAGACAGTAAAACCCTGAATGTTTTCCATTTTTCAGAATTGCCGGTTAGCTGTCACCTATGTTTGTATCTTGTGTTACAAAAAACTGCTGTGTATCAGAATTGTGTGTTTCCATCTTGTGTGTGTTTTGTTAAGTCGACCTTGGCTTCCTAAGGAAGCAAAAAATCAGTAGGACTGTAAGAACCGTATTTGATAGATCTCTGAACTGGATGCTGCTCTTACTTTTCTGGATGAAAGGCACTATAGTCCATGATATCTAACAGGTATTTTCCAAGTAAGCTATGTAATGTTACAAGATTTTGGATTCTAATGTGGTGTGATGCATGTCTATGATTATACACTATAAGGATAATAGGAAAAAGTAGTATCTTTCCTTCAGGCAACTGTTCATAGCTGTAAAAGGGCCCCAGACCATAAATTGGCTTTTTATAAACAAGTTCTTCTTCACTGGTGTTGTTAACGATAGTGATTTATCCTGAATATCAATACCACTAATTATTTTGAAGAATGAGAAAAGAGAGGGAAGTTGGAAGCAATGCACCCATTTCATATCTATGTCAATAATATTTACATCCCCAGTTCTTATCTCCAAAACTCGTTCACTGTAGTATAATATCATGAGTCAGAACAGACTGTGATCGTGTTTAAGAAGCACGAAGTTTGGAAGCAGAATGCAAACAGACTGAAGTGTTTCATCCTATGTATCTTTGCACGCCTCACTGACCTGTGTCGTTTTCCCCACTGTTGGTCTGTATTTGAGCATGCACAGGGCCTGCTTTTCACAGCAGTCATCAGCAGCCTAGCTGCTAGCACGGCTGTAAGTATCAGCACGATGAATTTACACCAGCTGCAGTGTTTCAGGTGCATTTTTTTTTCTTTCAGTAATGAAAAAAACATGCCACGCTCCTAAGTATGTCTAGTTCCATGTTTGCTGTTCTCTGTCTTGCATCACAGCACCCTGCAAGAGTGGCGTGGTTTGGCACCCTGTCTTGAAGGCCAAAGAGATGAGGCTGAATTCATGCTAAATTTGCCATCTGTTCCAGGGGAGAGAAAGGGAAAAAAAAAAAAGAAAAAAAAAAAAAGTATTAAACAGTATTGCTAAATATCAGAATATCTAAAATCTAAATAAATTCCAACATCTGCACATCCTCCATCCTGATAGCAGGATTTTATTCCTGCTAATGTGAAGAAGATAGTACTTGAGCTAATCTACTACTTTGAAAAAATACAGCTGTAGGCAGAAAGATGCCCAGCGTGGCTGCTTATCAAGGAACAGCCAAGTGCACAGCTTTGCACTGAGACTTCAGCATCCTCCCTTCCAGCCCTGCCTGCCTGCCTGATGCTGAAGAAAACGCACACACCCTCCTTTCCTTCCGCGTGTTATCACATGCCTCTGCAACTTTTTTCTTTTGCTCCATTACTCTTTTCCTTTGTAAGCTTTCACCAAGAGAAAGGGAATAGATTGTAATAATATTGTAGCACCAATGCTATTGTGTTTGCAGTAGCCTTAGCCCGGCATAATGATTTGATTAGCATGGCTTTCTCACCGCAATTAAAAATACATGCGTTTCCCCGGGATTCTGTGTTCTCAGAATCATTTCTTCATCATCTTTCTTTCTCTGTATATCTCTGCAGAGAAGCTGGAAGCTGGTTTAAAATAATTACAGGGCCTTCAGTAATTGTCAGGGGCAAAAATGAATGCCGTGAGTCGTCGCAGTCACTCTGGCAGATATTTGTGTTTGCAAAGTCCTGTGCAGTATGTTTTTTTTCAAAAGGGCCATTGTCCCTTAAATCACTGAGGATAGTAATTCAGGTATTTAAGGATGTTTTGTTCTTGCTGTGAGATTTGACATTTCCAGGTTTGATATCTGAAAAAGTTTGATAGAGAATATGAAACGCTAAGTGAGAATATTAATGAGAAACTGGTAGTTCACAGTGCACTGATAGCACAGAATCAGTTAGTGGGTTCCACCAACCCAAAGAACTCTAATTGGGCTGAGTTACCTACAACATAGATTGGTTTAGTTAAATTGCTGATAGAGTTATATTATCTAAAATGTTAAAACTTTCTCTCCTTTTCTTTTACAGTTTCTTCTGCTTGGGGTTGGGTAACAGCTAGCAGTGGTGTATGTTGGCAGCAGTACTAATAGATAAACAGAGATATTCCCTTTGGTAGAGGCTGTGAAATCTTAATCCCACTGGGGTTAGAGAGAACATTGCTCTCAACCTTAAGGTCATGCATAACTAACAATAATAATAAAGAACTGTTTGATACAGCAGGTATGAATGCTCAGGGACATCTGTATTGTACTCAGAAGCTTAATTTTTTTTCTTTTAAAGTTCTTTGTCTGAATGGATGGTACACTGACAGAAAAGGTTTGGTTTTTGTAGCTTCATTCACTCCCCTTTATGCTTCAGTGCATTTTGTGGCAGGACTCTGTACGGCTTACATATATGATGTTTGACTTACAGCACTGTTAATCTTAGTAGAGGGAAAAAAGCAACTATTTTTAGCTGGGTGAGTAGCAGTTTTAGTCATCTCTGTTGTTAGAAGTTGGTTGTGATCTATTAAACATTTATTGCTCCTCATTTCCTATTTTTAAATTTATATTCTTGAATGTCAAAATAATTACTGCTAATCCCCACCACCACCAAACAAAGCCCTGTCAGAATTATTAAGCAATGCCCACTTTGTTTATTGCTCTTCCAATCTGCGTAAATTTTCTAACTGATACATTTTTGAGAACAGTCACTTGTTTTTTGTTTGGAATGTGTGTATAATTTTCAGCTTATTGCTTTCCTTCAATAGTGATAAAGGAGACTTCAATTTTATGTCTTAAATCTGGGTTGTAGGTGATATTCATGCCGATAGTTTGCCACAGCAGTGTGCCTTCTATTTAATACAAGCAGTAATAACTACAGCATTATCTTGAGGAAAGCTTCTTTCTTTTTTCCCTCCCTGTAGAAATACTGCAGCACAGTCCAGCTTGATTCTGGAATAGACTACAGGAAACGAGTGCTTCCTGCTGCTGGAAAACTGTACTACCTGTAAGTTGATCTACAGTGAGGTATTTGCCCTCTTTTTCCTTATTAGCCAATAATTTCCTAGTGAATGGGAGATGAAAAATGTGTAGTAGAATTAGCAGGCTGTGACTTTTCCTTTCTTTGCTTTCTGGTCCATTTTGTTCAGCAAACCGCCTTCCATTATGCCTCGATATTAACTTCATTAAACTACATTTTCAGTACCCACACTAGCATCGTTTATAATGTGTGACTGAATAAAAACTAATTAGATTTTCTGGGGAGGTGTGGTGTTTGGAGAACTGAAGTGACAGATGGTTAGAAAGTAATGAATATCCTCTTGTAAGAGATTGCACAATTCTCTTATAATAGAAGAACATCCTTATTGTATTTAAGTAATTAAGTATTTGTAGAAATCTAATGACAAGGATTCATTTAATGTTGGGTGTTTCCAATGACAAGGATTCATCTCGTGTTGGGTGTTTCCAGTGCTGTGCATTGGAAAAAAACAGTAAACTCATATTTTGACATTTTCTGTTTATTGTGACAAAATTTCTTCAGCACTTCATTCTGTGTTTGCAAATAAATGTCTTTAAAGATCACATTCACAGTTGCAGCATTATCTGCCTACTAGAAATGTCCTTTTTTAAAAACTACTTGGAAACATTTACATTGCAGGCATTTTTCTGTCTCTTATTTGCTCTTAAATTACAATATTATTCAATTGGTAACAAAATGAGTAAGGCAGACAGTAGCCTAAAATAAGATTTTTAACCATGATATCTTTCAACCTGGCATATAATATGGATTTAAAATCATGTTTGCCTTAAGAAGGGTGCAGTATTTCCACCTCTGTCATGAATCAAACATGCCCCCCTTGCTGCTTCACTATAAAATTAGAAGTTTTACTTTTCTGTCTGAAAGAAGTACTGACAGGCAGAATTGCAGCAGGTAAATTGTTTCGGGAAAATGTGGATGAAATGGCAGATTTCTTCCTCCGTTTTCTTCCAAACCTATTGAACGTTTGAATGCTTTCCTTCATTGCTTCTTTCATTGCAAGATTGTTAGGGCCTGGCCCCACTGTTACTCGTTCACATGTATAAAAGGAACATACTCAGCTCCAGCTAATTCTGGAAGGAAATTACAACATCCTAGGTATGGAAAGTGCAGCTTAAATGGAGGTTCTGCATCTGCAAACAAGGTCAAGAAAAAAATCTCTTGCTCTGTATTCCTGTGTAGCTCCATTTTATTTTATTTTATTTTATTTTTTTTGAGTTTTTTAAGTTTCATGTTGTCTTCTTGGAGGTACTGCTGGAAGTCGCCTCTGTTATCTCAGAGTTGGTCCCTGTGGCTCTTACTCTGGTCCCTACACAGCTGTCCTTGCTTCAAGCTGTGCTCAGTGCCTGGTGCACTCTGTGACCTTCTGTTCGATAGCTGTGGAAAGCCCTTACCGTGTTCTTTTCTTCGCTGTCCATACTCCAAGTAAATGAAGACTGCACATGTGGTTTCCCATAGGTAACAGGCTAAGTGACATTGCTTCTCAGAGGAGAAGGAATGTGTGAGTAAGGCCCAGGAGCGCTGCTCTTCCGTGCATTTCATGGTGTTCTGCTGAGAAACTTGAGACCGAGAGAATGGTAGACATTGCTGAAAAGTCTTTTCCATGTTCTGACATTGGAAGGATGTTGACTACCTTTAGAACTTAGTAATTCATTTGGAAGCAGTGGAAAAACAGAAGTCCAGAAGCTGCCATTGGAAATAAGATGCTTAGCCTCATTGTCCGCTCTTTCTCTGAGGGAATTGCATTTAATCTTCTATTCAGACTTGTTCATTAGAACTTTCAGCCTTACAGAACTCACTTAGTGGTGTTTTTTTTTGTGTGTGTATTTTTTCTTAATTATTAGGTACTGTATAGTATTTTGCTTCAGATTTTTGAAATTCATTTAGTCTTTTCCCCCAAAGAAAATCTTTTTGTTCAACGTATGTACATTCCACTACTAATGGTTATAATGCCATCATCATAACTTTTTTTAACTCCTCACATAATCTGTGCTTCATAATCTGTGCAGTCTTTTCTTCATTTCGAATAAGGGTTGCATCTAGGAGTTGCTTTAAGTTGCTTTTACTCATCTGAAAGCAATCAGTGTAACATAATTACATGATGACTGATCAAAGCAACTTCCTTGATCTCAGTCTCAGGTGTCTATTTTCAAAACAAACTTTCTTGGTAGTTAGGTACAAATATCCACCTTGTGTCATGTTTGTGTGTTTCTTGTAGTCTTTATATCACACTTTGTGACAGGTACATGCATGCACGGGTGCATGTTCTCTGATACGTAAGTGCTCTCCTCCCTGTTGTATGGCTTTGTTCTGGCTTTGTCTGTTCCTTTTCATTTCTCACTTTTTTTTAGAAATCTAATTCTTTTGCAACATATTTTATCTGATGTAATCTACTGAGAACGGTTTTATTCTGAGGGTTTCAAATAGAACTTGCAGAAGTCTTTTTCCCCCAGATCCTCTATGTCTACAAGGTTTGGTATCACTAATTTTGAACTACTAAAGTAATTATTTCAGTTTTGCTTTTAACATTTTTAAGATGCTTAAGGCTTAATGAAGAGGAAAATATTTGTGTGATTTGCTGATCGTCACTTGTCGCTTTACGGATGTCTGTGTGCAGCAACACAACTTAAGTGCATCTGCTATCTATAAAGGTAGACTTTTTGCACCAAATATTATACAAGCTTCAAGGAAGCATTATATATTTTAGCACAGGTTCATTGTGTGCTGTCACCTTAATTTACTGTTCTCTGCTTTTGAACTCAGCTGGACATACTGTCTTATTTAAGGAAGATGGACACGAAGAGTTTGGGCTTGTAAACCATTGTGGGGAAAAAAAATTCTCTGATTGTACTGATACATCATTCTTGTGGTATCAGAAGTAGAACATAAACTTCAGCTGTGTGCACAGATATTACACATTTTCCTTACCTGTGGTTGACCTTTTCCAAAACAGTGTTCTATGGGTCGGTAGAAAAAATGAAGCAGATACAATTACTAATGCTGGCATTATGAATCTCACTTTAATTTTACAAGCTGTGTACATTTCGTTCAATACAATCAGTTGACTTGATTTTTTTTTTTCTCTCCATAAAGCTGCTCTAATATTTAATTTCAAGAAGTCCCTTCAGACATTTCAAAGGATACTTCTTTAGGTGCTTGACTGCCTTGCCTTGTCTATTTGCTCTTATTTTGCATGCTAGATAGAGCCAGAAGCCTTTTTTCTCATTGTGTACACATAGTGTTAATGGATCTGCTCTGCCTGTATTGCCTCATTACTGGAAACGGCTCAAAACACAGAAGTCTTTCAGTGTATGCAAATAAGGCAGAATCATCTACCTGAGAGTTAATATTCTCTACTTTTAAGTGTATTCTAAATCTAATGTTTGTATTTAGAGCATAACATCCTGTTCTCTTTTTCATGGGCAAAAAGCTAAGCAGGCTCAGGCAGCTGTTTGATGTTGGCTTCAAGTGTTATTAATTTCATATTCTATTATTCTTTTCACTGTAGCACAAGTGAAGCTGATGTGGAGGCTGTCATGGATAAGTTGTTTGATGAGCTGGCTCAGAAACAAAATGATTGTACGTAAGTTAATTTCTCTTGAAAGAGAATACATTTAGAACACAATGCCCAATCTCCACTGACCAATTAATAAGTTCCATTGCTGTATATGGGTTGATGCCACACTCAAGTGGCAGTCATTGTATCAGCATTTTGTCTAATTTATGTGTTGAATCATGTGCTATTATTCATCAAGCTATGCATTTCCTATCTGTAAGAGATGAATTTTATAGTAATTATCCAGAGAAGATTGAGTCTTTGTTCATGTTCCCATAGTAACTAGACCAAGGATTCTAAAAGTGCAAGGCAGAGAGCTGAGGCTGAATAAAGCGTGTGGAACCATTGCAGACTTCACATTTGAAGAGCTGTGTGACAGAGTGAGTACCCAGTCAAATCTAGATCAGTTAACGCTCAGACTTTTCACAGTTTAAAAAAACACCGTACAAACTTACTATTTTTCCAAGTCTTACTGAATTAAAAGCTTTTTTCACCCGCAGAAAGATTTTGAATTTAAAAGGAAAAAAAAAACCCCACCAAACAACAAAACTTCCCAAGAGAACAATAATCATTTTAATTATACGGTAAATTCACTTTTAATTACATTGTCTTTGAAAATCCTACTGCAGTCTGTGCCTGGCCTAGCATCATTGTTGGAATATTAGGAGACAAAACATAATCATATATAAAAAGCATCCAAATACTGTTTTTAAAATTTGGGTTATAAGTTTGTACTTGGGCAAAAGACCAGTAATCCTGCTGCTGTCAGATGAATGCTTTGCTGCTGCTCTAATCTCTTGTTGCATTCCTTAGTTGTGACTAGCTGTACAAGGCCTATTTAGTCCCAGGCTTTCTTAAAAACTTGCTATATTTCTTTAAATACTGCCAAATTCTATTAGGTGTGTTTTGTGATTGTGTGTGGGTACAATTCCTGAAATGCCGTCTGTGTATGACCTCACAGGGTGTGAAGACAGTCCTCCCCCAGGAGCCTTACACCCGAAGTTACTGTGATGTGATCACAACCCTTAGCAGGGCTGACAGCATTTTTGTTCTTTTTTTTCCCAGTATGTTCACCAATCCTTTGATTGTAGCATTGTTTTCACTTCCTTGTAGCTACTGAGGTGATAACCAGTGAAAGTGCTTTTCAGGTAATTACATTGCAGACTGTAGGTTTGGGACTTTCACAGAATCACAGAACTGTAGGGGTTGGAAGGGACCTCCAGAGATCATCGAGTCCAACCCCCCTGCCAAAGCAGGTTCCCTACAGCAGGTCGCACAGGTCGGCATCCAGGCAGGTCTTGGACATCTCCAGAGAAGGAGACTTTCAGTTTCAAACAAAACCAGTTTTTGTTTTTGTCAAGTAAGACAGGAATTTTGGCACAGTTTATATTACCTGAACATTACTGGCTTCTTCTCAGAGGAGGTGACTGAACCTTTAATAACGACGTGGGAAAAGAAAAAGGTTTTTCAAGAAAAACTTAGTTCTAGATGAAGCAGGGTAAAATATGTATTTCACTGAAGAGTAGTAAAATAACTTTCAATCTGTTAATAATTTGAGAATATGTTATAAATAGCCTGCAAATGCATTTCAGATCATTAGTGCTGGAAAACTGGGCTGAGATCTTTGACAGGGCTTTTATTTAAAGTGAATATTCTGCAAGTGACATTCCAGAGTGCTAGAGTGCTACTGTGTGCCAGTGGTAACAGACAAACAGGCAAAAAACCCGAGTAGGACCTGTATACCTTCAGTCTATCAGTCAGCTTTTAGTACAGAAATGGTCTTGGAAAATTTGGTTCTGGTTTCATAGTGTAGATAATTAAAGAATGGAAATGAAATGAATTTCAGTCTCCCTGATTTTGCAGAGAAGGCTGACTTTTCTACATGGTGTTCTTACTAAGAAATTGGCACTATCTGTTAAATGGGTTGAAAAGTTAGTTAACTAATGTATAAAAATATTTCTTGCAGATGGGTTGTTACCAAATGGAATGCTGGAGCACTGAGGCCTGATTTCTCCTGGGTTGGTGGCATAGAAAGGAGGGTAGAAAGACTATTTTAGCTTTGGAAGCAGCACTGTGAGATTGATGGCAGAATGTTAGCTATGGTTTTGACATCAGAATTTTTGGGAAGATACAGAAAATTCTGAAGAGGCTGTTGAAAAAGGCACAAATTGTTGAAGCTGGAGAATTTGTGCCTTCGCATGACAGATTTACAGTTCGTTTTGTTCGGTTTGTCAAAAAGAGGACTGGAAGATAGTTTTGTAACACACAGCTGTCTTAGTTGGAAAAAATAGAGGTATTAATGGGCTCCTAAATCTAGAAGAAACGTGATGAAAGCCAGAGAATGCAGAGAGATTCAGATTAAAGGAAAAAAAAAAAGCAGCAGCATACTTTCCCCAAGTACTGAAGGAAATGGCAGAGCCTACTTGTGCTATGTTTTGTGTCCAAACTGTGTATAATTTTAGGAAGAGGTGTTTGACCTAAAATAGTAATTGTTCTTAGGCTGACTGCCTGTAAAATTTAGGGAAGTTGGTGATCTCAAGATCTCTTCCGGTCTTAAAATGTCTTTAGCCAGAGATGTGAGGGTGCTGGGATCACTGCTGTCGCTACCCTTTGTGCAGTGCTTACTCTACCATGAGTCTGTGTGGTGATTGCAGAGTGCATTTTGCCAAGGCCAGTCACTTCCTGTGGTTTGAATGGTGCCCTATCGTGTATAAAGCATCTTCCTGACACCAAAACAACTTTCTTACAAATTTGACGTTCTTGATCCACAACACAGAAGCACAATTTCTCATCCAGTCGCTTGTAAAGGGAAGTTTAACTTGAGAGCAAGTAATAGCTTTACTCTCAGAAACACAGTAGATAACTGATTTTTTTACAAATAAATACGTGTCGTATATTCACATGAAGTCGGTTTGAAGCATGCATATAGAATGGGAACGTTCTATGATGAAAAGCAGGCTTCATATTAGAATGTATCAACTCTGTTCAGACTTCTGTTTACAATAGCTGCTCCAAAAGTAATGCTTCCTATTCATTATTGGCCCACAGTGTCAGTGGCAGATGGTGGCGGTACGGCAGTAGAGGTTGAACCTTCCCGCCAGAACCCCATTAGGTGTTGTTGCTGTGTGACCGACAGCAGCAGAGGAGCAGTCTGACAGAACAACATCTGACATGGAAGTATGAAGCAAAGGTGTGTCACTGAGTTCCTCCATGTAGAAAAAACTGGCACCCACTGACACTCGTTGACACTTGCCAAACATTGATGGGGACCAAACGGTGGACGTGAGCACAGTGAGGCAGTGGCTGCTGCGTTTCAGCTGTGATGACAGCGACAGTGGATCACCTCCACTGGTGCTGATTATTACATCACTGGCAAAAATGCATAGGTGATAGTGGTGACAGTGTTGAAAAGTCGTGTTTTGTAGCTGAGAATTTGCTCTGTCAAACATAGTTATTGTGCTCTCTGTGTCTGTTGTAGTTTCCATGGAAATAAATAGGAGGCATTACTTTCAGAGTGACCTACATAGTATTATAGTTTATTATCTTGCTTCACGTCTTACTATAATTTTTTTTTTCCATATCAACAGTAGGTCTAAAATAATGCATCAGGTATTAATAACTAACAGTTGCCAATTAATCTGTAAAGAAGTAAAACACAGAGACATGTGGCATGCAGCTGATTTGCTAGTGCTAATTTTTACATTGGTTTCCTCACTGAGGAAAGTTACATGTTTTAGCTGATTCAGTTCAATTCAAATGTTGAAATTTTTCTTTTTTTAAAGTTTTACTGGATTACATAAGCATGTGGGAAACTATAAAATATGGAGTGACAGAATATTGATCTATTTGAGTTGCTTTAAAGCAAAATAAATAGCAATTTTTCAGGTCTGTGCCACGTCTGGGGCTTATGTGGCAGTACTGTGAGTGGTGGCATGAAGGTAGTTATCTGCTTATTAGAATGGCTTCCTGTAAAATGTGCTTCTCTGGTGTAATCTTTCAGAACTGTGTTTTTGTTCCTTTTTAATCATACCCCATCAAAGCAAAGTTTCATTTCTGTGCACGCACAGTAAGGTCAGTATTCATTAAGCCATAGAAAAATCACTCTCTGCCAGTTCTCTTTCTTCACTTTTCTTTTAAAATTTTGTTTAAACGTGGTTGTTGTGACAGCTTGGCTTGACTCCTGATCTGGTATAAATAACTGAGGCGACAGCATACCTTGTATTTCATTCTCCAAGGTCCTAAGGGAGTGAGTAGGTACTGTTCAGCTCCCAGTCTGGTCTTTCAGTCTTCCTCTCTCTTGAGCGTAGCAACTGCTGCCCTCTGCTGGCAGTACCTATAAAACTGATTTTATGGATGGGTAACCTAAAGAATGGTGACGTAAAGTACCAAAATGCTATTCCTCTAAGAAAAAAAAACGAAAACAAAATACCCACCTCTTTACTGTTGGCAATCATAACCGTTTTTCTAGACTTGCTCATGTCTCTGTAGCGTAACTTGCAATAGTCATGGCTGTAGCTGAAGTCAGCAGGAATTCTGCTTTGAATTGGTGTCATCCAGGAAACCTGCAAGACTGAGTTTCGGAAGACGTTGGTCTAGTACCAAAAGCTTACCTGTAGCTCGAATTTCTCTGTCCTCTGTACTCTACAGACAGTATCACTTTCTTGATTCACAGCCGTAGTTGTGGAGATAAATTCATTACGAGTGAAGTTGTTGTGGTAACAAAAGCCAAAGAAGAAATGCACGATTTTTCTTCAACATGAGTATTTGAAAAGTCCATGAAAAATGAGGCCTTGTGACATACCAGTAAAGAGGACAAAACCCGTACTAATAAATATGCATTATGTGAGAATCTCTGTTCTGTACCCTGGGTGGGTCAAGGGCCCTACAGGGCGGGAGGAAGCATTGGGTAATGCCATTCAACACTTTATCAGATGTCATATATTCAAGAGATCTCAGAGAAGGTTGCACAGGCTAACATTTGTCTGAACTGTCAGTTTTTTCAATGTGTCTTCTGTTTGTGTGATTAACAGTGAAGAGGGGTAGGTTGTTTTGGGTTTTTTGGGGGGAGGTTTCATACTGAGAGTAGCTAAAACGTACTTTAAAGCATATTTAAAAGAAAGAATAACAGATCAATCAGTTTATATTTCAGCAAACAAGTTATGTAGCCTTCTATCAAGCAATATTGAGGCAGGCTACAGGATTTAAAGTTTCAGACTGACTCACGATGTTAGTTAGGAGACACCAAATCAATACTATTATTTGGAACTTTCCTTGGTATGCCCTCTGATGTGATCTTTAATGACGCAATGATATGCTTCCTTTTTTTTTTTTTTTCCTCACAAGACCCCTTGGTAAAACTTACTAAGAAGTTGCCTTCTTCATTAAATTCCCAGGTTAATTATAGGGCTTCAGTGAAGTCCTCTTTGCCTTTGACCAGCCACATTTTCTAAAAGGTTCACACTGCCTTAAGACTCTTTAAATTTCTTCACCAAGTTACCTACACCCTAAATGCTTTGTTTTTGCTTAAACTTTGATGTAGATGTGTCACAGGTCTGTTCTTCAGTGTTTGCTGTTCCTTACTTGAATTGTGATCTTAAAATGAACATTGATGCTCTGTTTCATCGGCCGTAGTAGTGGCTCCTTAGGAAACAGCAGAAAGAGCTTTGTAATTTTTTGTTGTTGTCTCATATGTAAGTTGTAAATGTTATATAGTCTTAAACTGTATTTTGTTTTTATGAAGTTTTGAAGTGTTGGAGTTGCTGCATTAAATTATAGTTGCTGTCAATTACAACTCCTTGGGGTTTTATTGGAAGCAGCCCTGGAACATCTTCCAATGTCAACAAGCAAATTTTCTCCTAAGATGAAATATCTTTTCCTAACACATGTAAAGTGTTTTTTATTCTTCAGGCAAACCTCTAAAAGATGAGCTGTTTTGTCATTGATGAACCACCAAAGATGGGTGCTTTCTACTTTAATTAATGGGATATATAATAGAAACAGATGACAACTAACTCTTAAAACAGTCCACTGAGAGCTCCAAATAATAAACATCCTACTCAAACTGAGATGATGATGGCTGAAAATGCATCAAGTAGAGAGAAAAACAAAAACAAATGAAGACAAGAACTCAGTCTCCAGCAGGCTGAAGTGGGGTAAGCACTCTGTAAGGAGGCTAGCCCATGCTAGTGCTAATGCATTTTGCATTAGTGCAATGCCTAGAAAACAGTGATTCCTGGCATCAGAGTTAATGACAAAAATCTACAGCAGTTTTACATCCAGGAATAACAGTACCATGAGAAAAATTCGTATCTGTTAACATTTTGTGCAAGACAACAAAAATCTCATTAGGTGAAAGAGTGGGTAACAAATGGTTATTGACAGTTATTATTGTGCTACGGTTCTGAAGCTCAGTTTTGATCAATAACCAGTAAAGCAGAAGGAAGATCAGACAGTACCCGAAACACATACCAAATTAAGGTATTTGTAGGATGCTGTTCAGAGGACCAGATTAACCAGGCTTAACTTCTAGTTAGAAGATTACATATCTGTGTTAATATTAGCAGGAAATTTAACTTCATTAGCAACTTCAGAGAAAGTGATACCTTTGTGTACTCTACTGAACAAAAAACAGAAGACTTTCCATCGCTGGCTAAGGTTCATAAAATAAACTTCAGTACTGCAGACTTACAGGGGGGACAGTGGTAAGTGTTTGAAATTGTTTCTCACTAATCTTGTCCTCTTATCCAAGCCTCAATTGCTGGAAGTCAGAACCCAGCCAGTACTGAGGATCTTGCTGCACTGTAGGGCAGTTTGAGTGGCAGACTGTTGGCTGCTCTAACAGTGGAAATCCTCTCCTGGGTGGAGCCTTTGTGTGTAGAGTACACAGTCTGCATCTCTAGCAGTGGTGTCAGCTGGCCTTGAACCCATTAGTCTGGCTTTGTTTCCTTTGCTGCTGTTAGTTGGTCAGGGCAGGGCTTTAAACTGTCCCCAGAGCATTAGTGAGTTTGGTGACTGTTCACTGTAGAATAGGGCAGAAATTCTTGAAGGACTTGTGCAAAGTGAGAGCAAGTTATTAAAAGCCTTGTCTCCATCTGCAGGGCTGTGTATTTCTCAACTCCAGAAGTAGAGGGTTGGAGAACTTTTCTATGTGGAGAACTATACAGCTCAGCTGTGTACAACAGCTGGCTTCTTCAGGGATTTTGTTGTGTCTCACCAGACTCAAGTCTTGGCGGGGGGGTGCTAAAACAGTCATGGCTGCTTGGCTCAGATCTTTCTGATAAGATCTGGGAGTCTCCAAAGGCACATTTCCATCCCCTCTGAAAGAATATCACCACTCATTACTGATGTAGGTGTTTCAGAAATTCTTGTTAAAACACTCAGAATGATCTGCCTTCCTTTAAGTAGAGGAGTTTTGAACTGCCTGCTTCTTGTGCTGCTGAAGTAGGTTGAATCCTTGTTTGGCTGTGATAAGGATGCGTATTGTAACCATCTATTAAAAACGTTTTTATGGCAGTAGAAAGAAGCAAAAGTAGTATAATGTCTTCCTTTCTTCACATGATGTGTCATGCTTTTACAGTCTGCCTTGTTTTCTTTAGCACTCACTATGATTGTTTTCCAAATAGTCTTGACCTTTCTCCAGCGGTGAGATGCTAAGTGGGCTGGCTCTGCAGTGTTTGCCCACTGGTTCCTTTGACTTTCTTGAACATTTTCACACCATAATAATGGCAGGGGGACTGAAACTGGAGAGAAAGTAAACAGTATGTGCAACTCGGAGCTGAAGATACAATACATACTGCTCTTTAACACTGCTAAAAGTACTCGAACGTGTAGTAATTCTTTCCCACAGATGTCACAAGGAAGTCGTGTGGTTGTGAATAGGGAAGCAGGTGATTCACCAAAGTGCACATGGGGGAACTGGCTTAGAGTCTGGGTCTTCGATCCTTGCCTGTGAGGTTGGTTGGTGAGAAGCTCTCCTTGTTCCTATTTGTCACCAGAAGAATTTCTGGAACGCCATCAGAGCTTTGCTGTCCTCTGCTGGTGTGTGTACAGTTTCTGTGGGGTTTCCATTCTCAAAACCCAAAGTCCTCTTCAGGATTATCATTAATAATTGCCCATAATTTCTTGAGGAAAGATTCTAGTGAAGCAGCTATGCTTGGTCTACAGTAAATTTGTTTAGTAATTTGTTATGTACAATATTTCTGTTTTCCTGTTTTTATGTTATTAGCAATATTGCCGTGCTTTATAACCATATTGTCCTGCTGAGACGGTGCATTTCATTAGGAAGGGAGTTGCAACATTGTGCAGGATGCTGCTGATCTTCCTCGATGGAATGGTTGCATCAATATACTCAAGTACCCACACAAGTAAAACTAACGAGATGGATTTCAGGTGTATGATGCTTTTTTCCTGAATACAGTGACTTAAAAGCTCAAGATAAAATACTGCCTGCAGTGCTAGTAGGGTAGACCTCACAGAAAAAAGATGACCTTCCATGTAATGAAAGTCATTTTAAATGAATATGTTTGAATACTTGAATGAGGTGTCACTTCTTGTCTGTATCTTCTGTTGATGGTTTAGGTCCTGTTCATTGTTCAAATTATTTATGCTTTAGGTTGATGTTGTCGCTTAACTATTTTTGTTCTTTTCTTCTACTTAACTATTTTTGTTCTTTTCTTCTATGTGTTACTGTTTAACAGTATGTGTTTCATTTCTGTTTGAAATTGTCAAGAGATGAGGTGGTCAGGGTACAGAAGAGCCAAGTTCTTAACAAAAAGTGTTTGGGTAAAGCCATTAGTATGAGTGAGCACATGTTTTCCTGTGTCAGTAAGAGCGAACTGAACTGTTTGTTCCTGAAAAATAAGAATGTGATGAGGACTTTTCACCCTTCCTTCTGTAAGCGTAATAGTGCAGGGTACAGTGCTATAGACCTTTCTCTCACAGGTTTCCATTTCCTGTGGTTTGTTTTGTTCCAGCCTCTTGGGGCCAGTGACTACTTGGAAATATCAAAGCATTTTGACACAGTCTTTGTTCGTGACATCCCACCTCTTACCATGGCAAAAAGGACTCAAGCTCGGCGTTTCATTACTCTGATTGATACCTTTTACGAGCATAAGGTGAGAACCGAGCCTTTCAGGCATGAGCAGGAGTAACAGCGAGAGCCCCCAGACCTGCCTGTCACCTTCAGCCAATTAAATATCGGTACTCTGGAAAACATAAGCAGCAAAGCATCCTCCTGGTTTCACAGATTGCCCCATTGTGAATAAGGCAAACGAGGAGCCATTGTATTTTTGTGAGTAGTAAGCATGACCACATTTTAATGATGAAAGATTGTGTTGAAGCCTACCTGAGAATAAGTGGTTTCGGGCTGTATGGGCACTGGTCAGGAATCCTTCCTGCACTGAGCACTAAGGAGTTAATAGCACTGTTACATTATTAATTTTAAAGGAAACAATCGCTTTGGGCTTTACATTTGGTTGTGGACCTGCTGATGAAATAGTAATAATAAATACAGCACTTCACTAGGATTTACAGTGGTTTCAATCATGGAAGTAAAATCAGGACTATTAAAGCAACCAAAAAAGAGAAGTTCATGTTTCAGATTTTTTTTTAAAGTAATGGAAGAAAGGATTTTACGCGTTCTGTTTGATTATATATGCATAAACGTCAATATTTATGCAATCAGGAAATATAAATTGAGGTTTTTTTCAAGTCTGTCCTGGCAAGATGAGAGAGGCCCTGACCCAGCAAGGCGCTGAGCTGGGCGTGCCTGCAGTCACATCACAGCCACGTTCCTGGTGCTCACTGGCTGCCTGCATGCTGAGTGCAGGCCAGGCTGCAGTGCTGGGACCACAAGGCTGCAGTCAGCCTGTCTCCCACTGCACCTGGCATCTCCTCCCAGCAGATGCAGACCAGCCTTTATTATCAGCAAACAGTGTGTATCTGAGTGTCTTAGGTGCGAGAGGAGCGGCTTGGACTGCTGGGACATCTCGAGTGTAGGCATTCTTCGGGTAGAAAGATGTGGGCGGTGCACCAAGTGTTTAATAGCACAGTTGTTCTGTTCTCTGTGTAAAAGTTACTGCTTGAGGTGCTATTAAGGAAAAGATCCCGTGAGGTCAGTATTCCAGATGAGGAAGAAAGGTTAATCTATCAGCAGTGTTAGAGAAAGGAGAAACACGTGGAAAAAGAACCCACGAGATCCTACTTGAGGTTTGCTTCTCATGAAAGATGCATGTTATCCCTTTTCCCACAGCATGGGTGCTGAATCTCGTTGCCTGGTTCCTTTCAGGTGCGCATTATCTGCTCTGCAGCGACTCCTCTCCAAAGCCTGTTTGTGGTAGAAGCCGGCAGCAGTGAGCTGGAGGACAGCAGAGTGTTGATAGATGATTTGGACTTGAGCCAGGTACATGATACTAACATCCTCTCCCTTTTGTAACAAAATCGGTTGTGGTCTCATAATTACAGCAGCAGTTTTAAGAAGAGGAATCAGGTAAACAGGTTGAACCAGTGATCTGCTGTTTTTCCTGCAGCGTATCTGTCGCTCTCCTAATTGTATGCTTTGTTACTTATTCGTAGTCAAAGAAAATATCACACACTGTATAGAACCATTTTGCATAAATTTTAAGGTAATTTTGATTGTTAGTCACTAAATGTGTTCAGTGGTGTATGAAAATAAGTTTAGCTCCAACATTTAAAATCTGGAAATTACGAATGATCTTTTCTGTCTCCTGCCAGGCTGCCCAGGGCTGCCTCACACATCTTCACAGACAGTTCTCTGTGTTGCTCATTCTGTTTTTCCTTTTTCTTGTTTAAATCAGCATGCAAGCAGCCAACAGAGAAGTGGAAGTAGATGGCTAGTGTGTTAGCATCCAAATTCTTACTTTGCTGTGCTCTGTCAGAGGATTGCTTAGCTGAAATAGGTGGTTTTGTTCAATTTCAGGAGGTTAATTTCATTTTCTCTTGGTGCCATGCTGCTGTTTTTGTTGTCCAAGCCTATAAAGCACTCAGCATACGAAGACTGAGGTCGGATGCCCTTCAGTACTGCTCTGTTTCTCACTTATTGTGGTACTGTTTTTGTGTACTGATACAGGATTCTGCCAAAGGTCTCTCCATGTTCACGGGAGAAGAGGAAATCTTTGCATTTCAGCGTACTATCTCACGGCTCACAGAAATGCAGACTGAACAATACTGGAAAGATGGGGACAGAAACAAAGAGCGGTTGTAATTAAAAGTTGAATAAAAGCACCAGAAAATATGCAAAGAAGTAAACTTCAGAATTAGAAGGCCTTATAGCACAACCGAAGTAATAATGGCACTTTATCATCTGGATTGTATTTCTTTCGTTGTTTGGTTTTCATGCTTAGGACATGAAGACTTATTCTTCCGTACCCTCAGTATGTGGGCATGTGAAATTTTACCTTCGTTTTATTCTCTGTGAAACATAATTTGATGTTGAGGAAGTGTGACTGGATGAGAATTAGTCTGGAGACAAAGTCACTGGGCTCTGCAGGATTCACAGTGGGTCGGGAATGCTGTTACCCAAAGAGGGCACTTTGTGGATCACGCACTGCGTCTGTCCCCTCTTGCACCGTTTGCACAAAAGAGGGATAGAAGGCTTTCTTGATGGAGCTCCTGATGTTCCGTAGCTCTCTGCGGAGAGCTGCATTGCTCCTTTGTAATGCATTCTCCTCTGTTTTTTTTCCTCTCTGTTTTCTGTGTGTAACCATCTGCTGACTTTCAGACTCCAAGAGTTTCATGTAATCAGCCCATTGCTCAGTTTGGTTAATACAGAACTAACCGTTTGATTCCTGAGCAGCCTGAGGAGGAGCTAGAGGGTGCTGGAAATCTCAGAGGATTAAACCCAAGTAATCACATAAGGTAAAAGAAACTACCTTGGCAGTGTATACCATAATTTGAAAGTGCAACTTAATACTTGCCCTGTATTTTCCATTTCTTGCAAGCTGGGTTTGTTCCTTTCACTCTAGTTATGTGTTTCTGAACTTTCATCTCTGCAGCACCTTCCATCACTAGTGACACATCTGCCCTGAGCTGGCAATGGCAGGACAGTGCTACTGAGGCAGTTGCACCATTTTGCAATACAAGTGTGTTTTACCAAAATATATTGTTTTGGTAAAATATCATTACAAAAATATTCATCTCTGCTTTTATGATGCTTGTTTGAGCCCTAACCCCCCTCACAATTAAAGCAGGCTTTTAAAAGGGACTTTTTAATAGGAGGAACTGGATAGGTCCTGTGCACTTAGAGTTGTTACAGCAGTACAGATGCTTTGGGAGTCACATGCTCAAGTCTGGATTCCTGTTCTGACCACTACTTTGGCCTGGGCTGTGCCAGCTTTCCAAATAATCATTAGAGCCTATGCTTATAGTTTACAATTGATGTGACTGTGTTATGCCCACAAGAGTGACTACACCTGAGAATTTTAATGTATATTTATGAAAAATCCAATGAGAACGTATTATGTTTACTTAGGAATTGATGAAGAATGGATGTATGCTTTCAGGGATTTTTTTGTTTTGTTTCTCAAAAGAGAGACTGCTGAGATTCATGCACATCTGTGTGTATACACAGACACATAGATGTATACTTCATTTATACGTACCTAAGTGTAGGTAAAGCTAATGCATATAATTTAAGTGTGTGGTCATATATTTGTACATAGCAATCTCTGCTTATCAGCCTGTCCCAACCTTACAGCTGTCCTGAAGTTTCAGCTTAGACTCAACTTTTCTTTTTTTCTAATTGCATGAAATGCCCTTGGCCTTGTCCAGGCTAGAATTTATTGTGGTAGATATATATTTTTTTGCATTATTTAAAAAACAGTGCATATGTTTAGCTCCTATGTCCTCCTCTGTCTGTGATAGAGAAGAAAAGCAGAATCTTGCAGAAATGCAGGTAAGACATGGGACACGTGAGAGAGGAGCTCTGGCAGGCTGTGTTCCCACAGAACTTAGCCTGTGGAAGCAGAGTGCTTTCTCTAAGTCTCTGTGGGTTAACCTCATTAAACCAGGGCTTCCCAGGAGCCCTGGGGCTGATGTGCTTGTGCTCCAGCAGGCACAGCTTTGCCTGATGGTATTTGAGGCTTTCCTGTATTCCGCACTGACCCCAAACTCAGATTCTCCAAGTTTCATGGTATCATAGACTCATTAAGCTTGGAAAAGATCACTAAGATAATGGAGTCCAACTGTCAACTCATTGCCACCGTGCCCCTAAGCCATGTCCCTCAGTGCCACATCTACCCTTTTCTTGAAAATCTCCAGAATTTTCTGGAAGCACAGCCCCTAATTGCAGCAGGCCTGCAATTCAGAATCATTGAAAGCCCCCTGGGATACAGGTTAGCTCTGCTGAACCGTGGGAGGGAAGCCACGTTCCCAGAAGCTTCCAGAGTCAGCACTGCTCCCAAAGCACATTCCTCAGTGAAGCCATAGTGCAGCCTTGACTTGGCCAGCTAGGAAGCCTTCTGCTGGGATTCTTTGGTAGGTGCTGCCAGCAATCAGGCAGAGGAAATGGGGAATATTTCAGAAGCATTTGGGGGCTGAAAGGGGCTGGAAAAACAGGAAAAGCTGCTATAATCTGTGCAGCATTTGTGGTTGCACTGAGAGCGTGGATTGCTGCACTGAGGTCAGGACCACAAAGAGAAGTTGCTGGGACCAATCTATCTACCAGCCTGGATGCCAGAGCAGAGATCACTGCAGTACCTGCAGAAGAAGCATATTTGCATGTATCCACTTCCCTAAAGAATGTAAAGCCATATATGCTTCTTGTAGGTGTCATTTATAATTATGTGGCATGCATAAATTCTCTTTCCAATGACAATTTTGGGGTGGGAGGGACCTGAGGCCAAATAGCTTCCAGGCAATTGAGCATTGTATGAGATGTGTTCCTCAGGCGTGAATTAATTAAAACATTAAGATGTTTTAGTTGCCAAAATGCAAACAATGAAATGCCTGTGAATAAATTGTCCCTTAATGGCCTTGAAATTGCTGGATTTATGCTATTCCAAGATCCAGCAGGGGCTTCTTGGGCTTTTCTTATCTTGCAAACTCATGTCACCTCAGATCCGCAACGTGTTTTTGTTTAACTCTGAGTTACTGAGTGAGCATCAGTGTGATTCTTTGAAACACTTACTGCAACCTTATTGGTGCAGTATGATATTTTGCTGTCATAGAAAGTAAAATTCATGTGATTATGGACCACATGAAGTGCTTCGTGTTGGTTTGTAAAGGCTGCATCCTGGCTGAGAATCTCTTGGCCAATGTGTTGCAAATACCTGACTGACAAAGGAACCATGGAGTCACCAAGGTTGGAAAAGACCTCAGAGATAAACTATTTCCCAATGTCCAGCAATTCAAGATACAATCTCTGTGAGTGTTGTTACTTTATCCGTGTAGACAACCCATCTTTAAAGCTTCATTTGCCTTTCACATTCTTGTGCAGTAGCTCTTTCATTGTTATTTTTTTAAACAAATAACAAAATTCTGTCGTTCTAAGCTACTGGTTTTCATTGTTTGCCTTTGCACAAATGGAGGGAACAACGGCAGTATTGTGGGCACAGTGAGACAGCCTACCCGAGGCCTTCATAGGAATTGGAGGTGTGCTTCTTACAGTGTTATTTTGATCTACAAAGGAAAACCACCAGTGGCTTTTTGTGAATAAATGTGATCATAGTGACACTGCAGCTGGGTAGATGTCACCTGCTTTGCAGCAATGTAACCACGAATAAAATGACCAGGTTTCAGCCGGTGCTCATCACGGCCACCAGGCATCTGCCAAGGAGGAGGAAGAGTGTCTCCATCAAGAGCCAGAGGATGCAGATCCAGGAGGTCGCTTCCTGCAGCTGTCTGGATCTAAACTGCCCCCCCTCAGTTCCCTGTTGATAAAATGAGAATGTTATTGTCTTATTCACTAGCACTGGAGTGCTGCTGAGCTTAGTTCGTAACTATTTGGATACACCGAGGCTGTGGGATGAAAGTGTATAAACAGTACAAAAGAAAATTAGCTGCTCCGTGAGGAGTTTGGGATTTGGGTTACAGAATGAATGCCTTCAACTAAACACCACGTGCCTCTTTGCAGAGTCTTTGTTTTATTATTATTTTATTTTTTGTGAAACGCAACTATTTTAAAGAAAAAAAGAGCAATGTGATTAAAACCTTACATATTCAGGCTGTTTTCCTTGTAGCTGTAATGACAGATTGTCTTCATACATTTCATTACAGCATTAGCTCCTGTACCTGTGAGCTACAGCAGCTTTGTAAATTCTGTTGGGATTTTCATCTTGATGGATACTGAGAATTTTTTAAAATATGTAATTTTGAGTCTAATATATAAATGAGCCCTGTTAAATCCTTCCGTTATTTGAAAATAAGTTATGTTGTAATATAGAAAAAAGTAATACATCCAGATTTTATAAGTATTTCACTTATTGTTCCCACTATTTCTTGTACATGTTCTGAACAGATTCGGGTTTGTCCTCATCTATTACTGCTGCCAATAGCCTGGCCCTGGCAGGCTCTCATTTCTGTCTTGGAAACCATTTTTTCACATCTCTCTCTTCTCCAGCAGCCTGAGGGTTGGTGCTCCATCTCAGAGCAAACCACAATTAAAACGCTCTCTTTCTTCTGCTAGTATGGGGTTCTTATTGCTTGAGAGCTGCTTTCACTGTCAGCCAATTAGTTCTGCAGTTGGCAATGGGATTTGCACAGCTTGGAACATCTGATGAAGAAGGAAGAGCATAAGCCCGATGTGTCTATTGACAGAGGTATGGGAAATATTCTTCACCTTTAAAATCACAACTTGTGCAAAACGGTTGATCTCTACTTTTTAAACTAGTAAGGTGAATTTGCAAAGCATCCTGCTTGGGTGAGCAATGGGGCAAGCTCAGAGCAAAACTGCTCTGCTGTGGTTCTGCTCTGAGCCAGACTGGGGATCCTGTACTGCCCAGGCTGGAAAGCAGAACATTTTAATTGAGAAGCAGTCACCTCTTACACCTCCCTCTATGCACTCTGCAGCACGGGAGGACTCTGCTGATACCTGGTGATAAAGATGATCTGGAAATTTCTCCATAGGACGTTAAAGATTCACCAAGGTGTCTGAAGCAGGAGGCTGCATCCTGCCCGTGTTTCATCTCACGTAACATCACTTCCTTTGGAGGTTCTGCTGTGAAGCACAGCGCTGCTCCTCTCGATGCAGGGAGCGAAGCGGCAGGACAGCGGGAGCATCCGCGACCCTGCAAAGCAGGAGATGGTTCTGACCCTTTGGCTACAGCAGCGCCTGTGTTTTCCCTCCTGTGTGCTAAGAAGCAGGGCTTGCGGTGGCAGCTCGACTTGTGAGAGCAGAGGGAGGACAGAGCAGATGGGGGATGCAGGCCACTTACTCCCTCTCCAGCCTTCTGCATTCTCCTCATATTTGTAAAACAACTTTTGTTTCAAATTGAATTGAATTCTAAGAGCGTCATTAAAACACAGAAATGCTTCTCACTGACCTATTACTCCGCATTCATGTTGGTAAAATTTTGGATGAGTTTCTATAGTTCTCCCGCCAGTTCTTTGTCAGGGTGAAGGGTTTAGTTGGCTCCGTTAATCCACTCTCTAGCTGAAATTGTTCATTTAAATCGTTATAAAAATCCACTCTTTTCCAATGCGAATCCTATATTCCCGGATTCGAGTGCCGCTGCCAGTGCAAAGATTTCAAATTCTTTCAGTGCAATCACACTGTGTTAGTCCAAAGCCAAATTACACACACTTATCTGCAATTCCCCTTACTCAGCTTTACGCTAATTTTTCCAGTGGGCAACAATAGCCGTGAAAGTGTAGGAAAAGATTATTAGAAGAGCTTAGGAAATGGTCAGTCGGTTCCTTCAGAAGCCGTGGTGCAATTCTGGCACATCCTCTCGGGGCAGAAAGCAAGCGCTTCAGTTCTGTTGCTTAATATATTTTTAGTGCACGGTTCGTGAACGTCACAGTAATTAAGAGAGATCACAGCCGCTGGAAGATGAAGCGCGCAACAAAAGATCAAGCGATTGTTTAAGCTAAAGTTAAATGAACCAGGGAAAGTAAGCTCGCTGACACGAAGAGAAAGCTCCCTTTGTATCCTCTGTTCTTTTACAATTAGTAAAGCCAAACGCACTTGTGTAACTTGTTTGTTCTACCTCCAGTGATGGATGACGTTCGGGTCACCCGATGACGTGTCGGCGGGTTGTTTCTTTCCTGCCGCCTTGTTAAGAACATCGCTCACGTAAGGCCTGTCCCGGAGCTCAGGGAGCAAGCAGCCGCCCCAGGTCCTGCTGGCCGATGTTCAGGCACTGCACACAGCTAACGCAGTCATTCTGGGTGCGGGGGGACAAAGCTCGGTGCGTACACGGGCTGAAGACCGGTCTCCTTCAGTTGTGATATCTCACGAAAAGTGAAGTTTCAGAGGCCGGTGGGGAGAGGAGCAACTGCTGTCCAGCAAAATTACAATCTGAATGGTTCACCATTTTCGGTACTTCACTACGACGGCAGTGATTGCTATAGAAACTTCTGAGAGTGAGACGGAGAGGTTTTCCAGCACTGCAAATAGCGAATGGAGAAGGTTAGACTGGGTGCAAAGCCCATTCAGTGAGGCAGCTGCCAGTTGAGCTTCTTTGCCAAGTAAATTGTAGGAAATGCTGATTAGAATGTCCTCTGAACACAGCAGGCAAATTAAATTTCAGTCAGAGCCGCCTGGCCGCTGTGGGTGGGAGATGGTTCCAGCACACAGTGCACCTGTGCTCGTGGCACACAGTGCTGCGTGGCCCTGGGGGCACAGGTGAGGGGTGTCTGTGGGGAAGAACAGCCAGCTGTGTACCCAGGTGCCCAATTGGGATGCTGGACTGTGCCCTGGCCCAGCTTTGCCACCTCTCCCAAGACACAAAGTTGTCACATTCGTCTCCCTCTGCTTGGTGCAGCACCACTGGGAGATGGCATCCCCTTTCTGTCCCAGCTGTCCCTGATTCCTGCGCTGACATAAAGATGGGCACGTTGCCTGCCAGCCCTTTCCTCTCCAGAAAGCCCTGCATCAGACCCCTAAAGCTGTTCCCTCTGGGCAGAACAACTGGCTGAACCTGTGGACAGGACTGAACCGAGGGACACAGCCAAGCCTGCATGCGGGCTCAGGGCTCCCCACCTGTCACCTCTCCAAAAGTTCAGGCTTTTGAGATTTCCTTGAGATTTCCCTCATAGCCCATCAGTCTGTATACACCCAGCTGCATTTGCAGCTCCAGCAATGCCTCTCCTTTTGAGGCTGCTCCCACCTCCTTTCTGCACACTGGGCCTCTCATCTGTGCTGGAGAAGGGTTCAATATGCTTTCATGTCCACCACCAGCCTTGGAAAACCAGCCTGGCACCATTCTGGCAGGGGCTGGTGGGCTCTTTTCCAGGAACTTGCTCCCCACTGATCTTCTGAAGGCCTGATGGTGTCACTAGGCCTCATCACCGCCATCACTGATTTCCTCCTTTCTCCCATCTTTCTTCAGCTTCTCTCAGTTTAACTCCCAGCAGTCAGCCAGGAGAGTACCAGGCAGGTACAGTGAGACACACGCAGTGCTCTTCTGCCTCATGGGTTGCACGTGCCAGCTCAGGCAGCACAGACGTCGGCCCTAGAGCCCTCATGACAGCTGCTTTTCCAGTCATGCTTGGCTTCCACATAAAACAACGGGAACTCCTATCTTTCTATCTTGCAGTTTCCAAATACATTGGTTCTTTGTGGACTGAATGCATTGAAGTACAAACAGCTATCTGGTATGTATTAACAGGAGCAATGGGGTTTGTCCTGCAGAGTAAGGGTGAGAAATGCAGCAAGTCATAGCTTATCAAATCCATAAACTGCTTATTGTAGATAATTTCTGCAGAAACAAATAGTGCACTGCTAGTATTAAGCGCTGCACCTTGAGTACTGTGTTCAGTTTGGGGCTTCTCATACAAGAAAGACATTGAGGCCCTAAAGCATGTCCAGAGAAGGGCAACGAAACTGATGAAGGGTCTGGAGCACAAGCCTTATGAGGAGAGGCTGGGGGAACTGGGATTTCAGCCTGGCAATGAGGAGGCTCAAGGGAGACCTTATCACTCTCTACAACTCCCTGAAAGGAGGTTGTGATGAGGTGGAGGTTGGCATCTCCCAGGTAACATCAATAGGATGAGAGGGAATGGCCTCGAGTTGCACCAGAGGAGGTTCAGGTTGGATATTACGAAAAGCTCTGAAAGAGTGGTGAGGCACTGGAACGGACTGCCAGGAAGATGGTAGTCACTGTCCCTGCAGGTGTACAAGAAGTGTGTGGATGTGTCACTGATCTCCTTGGTTAGTAGGCATAGTGGGGATGGGCTGATAGTCAGACTAGGTGAGCTTAGAGGTCTTTTCCAACCTTAACGATTCTACACTTTCATGTTTCTGAGCATAACCAGCACTTTGGTCTGATTCTATTCAATTACAATTTCTAAATACACAGTACTTTGAATAACAGACAGACATCCCCCTCTGTTATCTGAGCATCTGAAAGCTGTGCTTGCTCTGCTTCAGTACCTGTCGTCACCTACTCAGGCTTTTTATGGGCATTGATTATTTGCTTTACTAATGGCTGTGACATAGCATGTACATATGCACACACACACACATATATATGTACTCGAGGACATATTAATGGGCTTTGCAGTCCTTGTGGACTGTAACTGCTCCCGCAGCCATGAGTTAAAGCTTGGTTAATGGACTCTAATCTGTGAATTCTTAAACAATTTAGGAAATTAGTTATTGACATAATGGAGAAATTATCTGAGTGTATCACAGCAACCCATACTTGAGGACACCTCCATCTGCTAAGGTTGACCCCAATAATTAACTGCCTTACCCAGTGCCCCAGAGGTGCTCTATGAGGCACAAGGCTGAAGGTTAAATAGCTCTTGTGCATCAGATGTGCTCATTACACCAGTATGTCTGTAATCGCCTTCCTGAAGCCACAGCAGCTTGCTCATTGATTGCTCTCATTTTACCCTCCATCCACAGCAGATCATTACAAAGCTTTGCCTTCTCCTTGCTCAACTGCCCTTCTGCCTCTCAGACCAAGTCTCAGTGTGCCAGACAGAACCTGCCTGCACCCAGACACCCCTTGGCATGCCCATGCCCACGCACAGTTTTGTGGTATTGCTGAGCTGAAACTACTACAGCTGCTAATGCCATGCTCCTGCCTATGTCCCAAGTGAGAAATGAGATGCAAAGGCTTCAGCCCTTGGGTCTAAATATTCCGATGTATTAGGATACCTCACTAGAGTAAATTGTAGGTTCCTGCATAAGAGCTGGATGCAGCACCTCCTGTGTTGTAAACACAATGACTGAGCTCATATGCCTTGCATATAGCAGTTCAAGCAGATGCTTAAAAGCAGAGCTTCCCAGCTCTGTGAAACAGACAGGAGCTCCCCTCTTCCCATCACCTTTGCTTCTTAGCACTTCTCAGGCTCATACAGAGGGGATGCACAAAGATCTCTTGAGCTGTGGCTCTTTGGAAGGTTTCGCTGTTTCACGAGAGCTGAGACACTCCTGATTCACCAAAGGGAGCAGCTGGACAACAAGTCAGGTGTTTGAGGCTACCACTCTATTAGCTTTGGTGCAGTTACAGTCAGTAGCAATAGATAAGGTCACTATTGTATTTAAGACGATGTTAGGCAACTTAACTTAGGCAAAAATGCTCCATAGCTTAGGCAAAAATGTCGAATGCAGGCTACAACAGGATAAGCAGTAAATGAGAACAGAAAGCGAGTCCCTAACTCTGTAGGAGAACCTTTGTGTTACGGAGTCCGCCTATGGAGGCCGGACACTTCATACGCCGTCATCTAGCTCCACCATGCGTCGGGATCCTCTCCCCATGCTAACTTGTAAGCAATGTAAATGCTCTCTCTTAAATGCTGTGTTTCAACGACACCAAGCAGGCAGGTTCACATGAATCACACGTTTTTTCCTGAGGTTCGGTACCTTTTCCAACTGAAACGCGTTCCCTAAGTAATAAAAAGCCGCACGAGCACGCGGAACGACGGCTGGGAACCGGGAGAGCTCGGCGGGCGTCTGCCTGCAAGGAAGTAGAAGACCACGAGATGGCAGCGTTGCACTACGGCATGGGGCATCCATCGGCTGCGGACTGGGAACCGCCCGGAGAGCGGGGGGGGGCTCCCGCAGCTGCTGCCGGGCTGCTGGGTGAGGTGAGCCGGCAGCCTCTGGGTGGTCAGGGCTGTTCCTTGTAAAGAACTTCACTTATTTATTTATTTATTTATTTATTTATTTCCACAGTTTGCATAAAGTTAAGAAGTGGATAAAGGTTGCTGATGGCTTTCACGTTGCTGTCGTGCAGAGAACAAAGCGAAATAAACAAACGATCCTACTTTGGAAAGAGATTGTTTTTGCAAAACGCTGAAAAAAAGTGTTAAGCTCTAAAGCCCTCTGCTCCTGGCACAGAACAAAACGGCAGGCTCCTCTGCAGCGCC